CTACCAATATAGTATTGCACTTAAATTTGAGAAGTCTAGCTCACAACGAGGAAAGCACATCAAAACAATTACCATGGAAGTATTTATAGAAATTGCAAAGAGAATCTACGTTACGGCGGTGGGAAAATGACTAAAATCGAGATGCCACGTCAGGACTTTAAAATTGCAGATTCTTCTTTGAATATTGTCAAGAATGTCTAGATATGAAGCAAAAACGCCAGACCAGATGTGGTAGCAATATTTGATACACAGATGAATGGTATACTTATAAATATACAAAACAGATTCAGGCGAGAAAAATTGTCTAACACCACATAGTGAACCAACTTTCCGAGCAACAGACTTAGCATTTGATTAAATATAATAATTCCATTTCATGGCAAGAAGGCGCAGTGAGTTGCTCTCTTGGTTTTTTCTCTCATTTTTTATTTCACTCTATCGTAACGTTGGTTAAAATGTTCAGTTTATCATTATTAATGTCCCATATATACCGCGACAAAGCAGAGCTGTTACGGTTTTCTATTCAGTCTAGATTATGGTAAGTAGATGTTATACCTTTTTTAAAACATGCCTTCAGTCGAGCCAATATAATTCAAGGTCCGGAATCCATCAACTTTAATTTCGGCTCTATACATGACGTTACTCGTTAAACATTGGCCATTTAATATTATTCACCGCCCACTTATAAATACGTGTACATGTGTGTATTGAATGCAATAAAGTGTGTATTGAATAAATATATAGAGAGAGAGTGATAAATAAATGACGGTATTGCAAAATTTTTGTCTCAACCATGAAGAAATTTAAAAACAAGTTCAGTCATTTGTTCTGATCTTTGGAAGTGGGTAGTGTTGTGAATTTTGAAGCACCTTTTTGTATGTTTTTGTATGTATGTATATATAAGTGTGTGCGTGCGTGTGTGTGCGTGCGTGCGACCGCACGTGTGTGTGAGTGCTTATACCTAGTTTTTGTGGGCGTGTACATATAGCTGCAAAATTCTATTTGGTGTAACTAGAAATTTAAATAATTGCAAATGAGTGAATCTCTTTAAATGTATGTATCAGGCACGATTCCCGCACGTGAAACGGAATAAATCGATATATCTTTATATTTATCTAAACATAAGTGGACGCCAATCAGGTAGGTGGGGAATACGTCCTTGTCTCTACGTGTAGGTCTCTGGTATATATGTCCCTATCTATGACACTAACAGCTTGTACAGATATGAAACGTTGATATATTTACTGGGAGATTACAGTATCCGATAGTTAAACACCGTTTTCGATTTATCATAAAATTTAAATTTTAAAAAAATATATAAAATTTAAAAAATATAAAATAAAATTCTTTTGAGTTAAAGAGAATTTTTCTACATTCTATTCCATTAAATGATAAGTGTTTTTCCAATTTCACTCCATAAATGATTTTATCTGGAAAAATTTTTCAAAAAATATTGATTTGTATGTTTTCTATTCTTTGGATCTCGGGCGTTATTTGAAATTTGCACTTAAGCAAAAATTTCAGCGTTTGTCTTTTCTTTTTTTCTTTTATTCTCTTTTTTCCTTCCTGTTTCAGTCATCACTTCTCTTCACTTTCCAATTTTTATCCTCTTTTCTCACATTCCATTTTTTCTCTCCGTCTGTCACTATCTAGATAAATTATCTCTTCATCTCTCTCAATATATATATATATATATATATATATATATATATATATAGAGAGAGAGAGAGAGAGAGAGAGAGAGAGAGAGCGAAAGAGATAATGTTGAAGCATCTTACTTCTCACGACCTCCCATCGAACAAAAAATATGGCTTCCGTTTCGCCAGATATATTGGTGATATGTTAACAGCCATCAATGAATTTGTATATTAAGCTCGGGATAAGAACGGTGAAGCTTGAACTTTGGCTCAAGATATCACGAAAGCGTTTGTCAGGGACGTGCCAGAAAATTTTTCTTGTCGGAAATCATCAAGAACATTTACAAACCTACCATTCGTCCATGCATTGAATACTCTTGTCGTATCTGGTCTTGTGCTCTTACTGTACATCTCAAGATTCTTGACGAAATCGAAAGAAGCATCTGTAAAGCAATCGATCTTGACCATGCATCTCTGCTGAATGATATGCTCCCAGAACAACATTAACGTCTGGGTAATTTCTTTTGGTCCCCAGATAACCATTATGGATTAATATAGATTTTTGTCCCTTGTTCAAGGATTTGATTTTGCATTCGGTAATAGGACAGTAATTTTTGCTAAATTGATAGCAGACATTAGCAAATTCTCGCTGATAGCCAGGTAGATGTCACAAATATGAATTGGTTGAATATACATTCTTTCTTCCTTTTTATATTAGTAAACTATACTATGGTTTCTACTGTTTTATGCCACTGGTTAATTTCAAGAGCATCTTTCCTGTATTTGCATGCTCTTTCAATGATGTTTTTTTCTGATTTTACCGATATTATTTTTAATTGGGTTGTGTAATTGGTTTAATGACTTTAATATTGTTATGGGAACATTTGATTCAGCAGAGGCATTGAAATTAATTGGAATCTTCTTATTGTGGCGATTAAGATTTATTTTCAACATTAAGGATACCTGTATCTCTAGAAATGTCGGTGTAATTCTTCCCTGTAAATCAAGTCCAAAAAATATAGACTGATTGAGAAAGGAACTGATATTTTTTTAAGATAACGTGCTAAATATTACCACTAGTGTCAATGCTAAATTGATCAGCTTTCTCAATATGACTTTGAACTTGCATAATGTTTATCACAAACCATATACCAACGATCTATAAAACCATAGATATGTTAGGAAAGAATCAAACCAATCTCATAACATTATGGATAATTTACATGAATCAGTCCGACTTAGATTATCAACTACAGCAATAAGGAAATATTTGATAATAATAAAATTATATGTAAGCTTTAGAACTAAGCAACCATAAAGTAAGTTTAGAGTATGTAAAAAAAAAACAGAGAAGGTAAAAATAAACAGAAACACCATATGAGTAACGTTATATGGTATAATCCACATTTTATTCATAATGTTCAAATGAATTTTCCTAAATTTAATTCAAAAGTACTTCAATCATTCATCAACCAAAGATTTTTAACAAAAATAATGTTAAAATCAACTATACCTGCGTTAAGCAAATAAATACATGCCAAATGTAGACAAGTGAGTTAATCTTTAAGAAAATAAATTCAACTGCCGAAAAAATATGTCAACGGTCAACTTACGACTGATAATATTGTATACCGAGCTAGCATACATTCCGATAAGGTTGTCAAATTTTTATTTTTATTTTGGTTCCACAGAAAATCCTTCGAAATTTCGTTTTCCCCATCATCGAATGACATTAGGTAATATAAAATACATAATCAGTAACTGCTCTCTCAAAACATTTCTGGTAATTAAAGAATGATAGTAATACACTCATTATTGCGTAGAATGTTGTTGCTAAATCTTACAATGGGAATGACAATAGATGTAATTTATGTCTTGTTGAAAGATTAGTTATTTAAAACACTTAAATAACCCTAGCTTATTAAACAAAAGAAATGAATTGATGACCGCATGTAAGCCTAAAAATAAGTTTGTTGAAATGCATTGATGCAGATTAATTTTAATCAAAATTATGGGTCTGTTTCTTAAAAAAAAAAACAATATTCTTCTTTTATGCTTCATATAAAAATTAATATTCACAACTCTCGCTCTCTCTCTCTCTCTCTCTCTCTCTCTCTCTCTCTATATATATATATATATATATATATATATATATATATATATGGAGTGATTCTTCCGCTCTTACTGTCCAGTGTTAATGTCCACACTACTTAAATTTACAAACGTGCTCTGAGTACTTTTCTCCCATAAATACTTATACCTTAGAAACTCTGTTTTATCAAATATAATACGAAATAGATATTTTTCAAAACATATACGCACCTAAACGGTTATACACTCATGCCCTTGAATATATATATATATATATATATATATATATATATATATATATATATATATATATATATATATATCTGGAGTGATTCTTCCGTTCTTACTGTCCAGTGTTCATGTCTACATTACTTAAATTTACAAACGTGATCTGAGCATTCTCCCATAAATACTGTTCCACACGTAACAGTAATTGACGTAATTTTCAGATAGCAGTATGAAAATAGCGTTCTCTAAATGCTTCCAGTTGCTAAGGATATTTTGTTTTGTTATTATTAGTTACTTTGTTTAATAAATTCATTTCGTTTTTGCCTTGAAAAAGTCCACATCGGACGAAACGCGTCGGCAACTATTACAGTTTTCCTATTGTCTTTTACATATATATGTGTGTGTGTGAGTTTGTGTGTGCGTGCCTATCTGAAGTGATTTCTTAACAATCGCAATTTCTCTTTAAAGTATAAAGTGACTTGACAGAAGTTGTCCATTTTCCAATGCATCATTTTCTTTTTACGAACTTGCATAAGAAATCTGATTTTAAAGACAGACATTTATCTTTATTTGGATATTTGGTGAAACACGATCTTCCTTCTTCGATTTTTCTGTCGGGTTTTGTTTTGAAAACCAAGAATTTCCTTAATTCTACTTCTCTTCTTTCCATTCATTCTATAAGTTTTCTCTTAATTCTTCCACTCATCTCGCGTCGTGTCTGTTCCATTTCCAACTGCTACCTACCCACTCTCCTTCCACTTTTTCTGTCTTTATATTTTATATCTCGTCATTCTCCTTTTCCTCACTAATAGTTTTGTTCTCTCTCCCTTACAATTTTAATTAGCATTCCATCCACCTCATTATCATTCTTCTTCTTCTTCTTCTTCTTATTATTATTATTATTATTTTCTGACTCGATTTACTTTTTACATTTCTCTTTTATCAATATCTCTCTCTCCTCTGGCACACGCTCGCTTTCTTTTTTAAGTAAACTTTTCAAGATTCTTCTAACTTTTCTCACACTCTCTACTTTTTTCTTTTTAGCAGTATTTTATCTCTCTCTCTCTCTCTCTCTCTCTCTCTCTCTCTCTCTCTCCCTCTTTCTTTTTCTCTTTCATTCTTTCTTTCCCGACTATAACAACCCCACTACATTTTGTCTTCAAAATTATCAACACTCTTCCCATATATTGCTTATAATCTCGAATGCAAGAAGTCACGTTGATTTTCTTTTATTAAAAATTCAAAATTCAAAACAAAAAACATGAAGTCTTCTCTTTACACATCTTGATAAGAGAAAGCCAATTAATTATCTACTCCAACATCAATAATGACGTTTCCTCTCGGCAAAAACCCCACACCGCTTCCCACTCAACGTTCTGTGACTTTTGCTCGTTCCGTTTCCAATGCAGAGGAATGCCCTCTTAACAAGCAAAGCTATCAATTGAAATCAACCGACTAATTAGTTAAACCGACGTATAAATCGGAGAGGAATGAACCTAATCGAATTCTGATCACGGCGATTGCTTGAATCAATACATTGATTTCATAAGAACAATTGCATATATTGTTTCCAGTTTATTTCATATATATCGCAGTTTTCTTACCTTACTCTCATCTATCGTCTGAGGAATAAATAGATAAAAAATAAAAAATACAATAAGGTAAATATGTGTATCTAGAAATAAGGTAAATATGTGTATCTAGAAATAAGGTAAATATGTGTATCTAGCAATAAACATAGTCCGTCAGGTAACTAACAACAAATTATAAACAAAAACAAAGATATTCAATAAAATAAAAATATCCTTTCTTATATAATAATCCGAATAATGTAAATAGTGTACATAATACCTCATCGCAGAAATATAGACATATACCAAAATCTTTCATGTTTCGGAACTATAATGGTTCCTCTTCGTGCGATTGTAGATAACATATAATAAAAATGATTTATTTGGAAAATTTGAAAACAAATCGTTACCTCTTTTGAAAGTTAAAAAGGGTGGGCAGGGCTAATGTCAGAACTAAAAAAATATATACTTGTGAGCATGTTTGGATTAACCAATTAAAAGTTAAATCTAAGCTAAAATAGAAAAATAAGGTCAGAGGTCGGAGGTAGGTAGGTTATTGATTCATGTCATGATAATTTGATGCTCTAGACATGTCAGACATGGAGCCCACATCTATTTAAGTAGACATAAAGTTACCTTGAACAAAAATTCCGTTTTAATTTTCAAAATGTTCTATTTACTCAGGAAACTTCTTAAAGGGATAAGTAGTTAAAGTTTGGAACATTTATATACGATGCTAATTATATTGAATGGACGGTAAACATGGCATTGTTAAAGTTGAAAAAATGAAATAAATATTGTGTGGACCATTATATAGTAATAAAATAATAGCTGTGTAATTCTAATGCGCATTTCTTTATGATAAATTCTTTTAACTTTATTTTAAGGTAAAAGTTATACAATCCTGGCATAACACCGTTAATTCATTTCTTTGGTTTAGCAGAACTTAATTGTTAGGAAATTTTATAATATGCAGCTTTTCTTGTAAACACAGAGGACATGGGTCATATAAAGATTTATAAATTCTAGCATTATTTTTAATATTTTCCATTTTACCGTAGGCGTTTTATTAATTTCCTTTAAATGCCCAAAATATTCAGACAGATTCCTGTTACGGTAATATGATATATGCTGATAACACCTCATTTTAAAGGAATTTTTGTTACTGCTGGTATAAAACTTTTTAACAGTTGGATTTTCACTAGATGAAATCGTACATAGGTAAACAAAAGAATTAGTGAGACACCTATTTTGTAGTAGACATTCGTTAGGATCTCTACAATTACACAAATTGATATCATTACTGTTTTGGAATAAAGAATGTTACTTTGGTTTAAATGTTGATTTAAAATTTTATTAATATATTTTTTAATAATTTTTCCAGACTATCTGCACAACTGTAACTTAATATAAGTGTATTTTTATAAAAAAATTACTGTGAGGGTTATTACTGGGGAAATGTTTCTCAATTAAATTGAGAAACTTCTGCCTTGCTTAGTGCTAACCAATTGGTTAAATAGGAGGTGTAGCAAATTTGAAATGAAACAGACTGTCGCCTCCGGGTGTTGACATCAGTGTCCACTTTTATATTTAAATACGCTCTATCCTTGATATTGAGCATTTTAATGTATAAATATAGCATACATTAAAACTATATTTTATCATATATATATATATATATATATATATATATATATATATATATATATATATATATATCAAAAAAAACGGTTAAATCTATCACCTCATTCCTTTGAAAATGTACAGCGCATATGTCCATTTCATACCATAACAATCTAATCGCAATCTAAACAATATTAATTTTTTTTTTAATTTTTGAATATTATTGACTTTAATTTTGCCAGATTTTGAATTATGACACTTTGTGTCGTCCATATATTTTGTCTGACCTTTCAACCAGCTTATGAATATTCATGAACGTTCTCAAATTTACAAGCCTTGATAAACCAATGACATCTTTTCCTTTGTGTATAAACACGTGCAGCAAAATAAATTCTACATTTCCTGATAAAGTCCCTAATAGGACGAAACACGTCGGCTAAGAATAGTTTTTTCTTTCCCCTTTTATATATATATATATATATATATATATATATATATATATATATATATATATTGGTATGCCATCGATTTCACAAGTGGTGGAAAACATCTGGAGAGATATTGACCTATACCATCTCGACAGATTTGCCACAGCTGCTTGATATTTGTAGGTACGGGATGTTGCGTGTGAATAGGACTCTCCACTACATCGCATATCTGCTCCAATTGGCTTATGCCGGATGATAATACTGGTCACATCAATCTTTGAAAATATACGGAATGTTCTTCAAAATAATTCTGGGAAGCGCAAGCAACTGGTGACACTTTGCCTTATCCTACTGAAATAGTACATTGTTGTTGACTTAGATGGAGTCTATGAATTATTTCGAAACAGTGTAACCAAGTAGTCACCGGATAGTGACATCTTTACATGGACAACCGGACCCTTTCTATACCATGGGAATGCACCTCACATTATTATGAAATCACAACCAACTTACATTTGTTGAAAACTGGTGTTGAAAAACAGTGTTGCTTGTCTGTCACCATAGAACTTCTAACCACACGCTTTTGATCATGATCAATAAGAACTCGAGGTCGGTCAAAGTGAGTAGTAATACTTTTTACCAGGCATCCCCGGGATACACAAGTGATGCAACAGATTGAAAGAAGTAAAATTTCCTCACAGTTTCAGAAACAGAATGCCCATACACATGACACTCGCTATCATGCTCCGATAATTCACATTGCCTTACTATAGACAGCTTAGACGGTGGTCATTCTGATTCGCCAGAATAACTGATATAGTTCTGAGCATTTCCAAGACGTCAATGTACGGTAGCACCACCTACAATTATTTATACATATGATCAATTCATATATCTATATGTATAAACGCTCTTTATTCCTAATAGTGAGCACTCTTTCCCCACCAAATTTGAATTTTAAATACTATATTTATATATAAAAGTATGTGTATGTATGCATATGTACGATAGAAAGAGAGATTTACGAAGTTTTTGGTGCTGTACAACCCAAAATGTTTCGATGTAAATACTCTAAATTTCTGACATTAAGAAACATTATTATTTGGAATTTTGTCCATAATTTTCTTTTTGCCCTAGCAGCATTTCGATTGATGTCAGCTCCATACTTCTTCAATTGTCTCTGATATTCAGCGGATTTCTTGCAATAAATAATTCGTATCCACTGACCAAATGTCCCGTTGAATAATTAAGTCGTCTAATTTTGAAACTTTATTCATTATATTTTAAACCGGTGTATTGCTGTAAATTAATTTTTTTTTTAATTTCGAAACGTTACTGAATATGACAGACATCTGAAAGCCGTAGTCTATTGAATTCTGAGAAAATAGATGTCAATACATCTACAAGATGCTATTATTTTAATATTCCTAGTCTATTAAAATCAATACGGTAACATTGGTTTGTAATAAGTTCACAAACCCTTATATTTTTGTCTCTTGGTAGGTAGAGTTTCGATTTTGGTCTTTGATTTCTAGAAATTGGTCCTTTCCAAAATATTTTGCCTAAAGAAGCAATATATTTCCGATATAGGGATGATGCTTTATTAATACATCGCCGGAAATAAACTTGAAAATATAGTTTTACGTTATGCGATATTTATGGGTAAAAAAGTTTAGTATCAATGATAGGGCGTACGTAAATATAAAACTGAATACTGAAATCAACACCGAACGGTGACAGTCTGTTTTGGGCCATGTGTGTTGTGTTTTGGTTCAATCATTTATATATGCTGGCCAACGGTGTATTATGGGTAGCAAAGTCTATTGTATCATTCTAACGATATTTGAGTAGTGGATAACGGTTATGTTTCAAATTATTCTAGAATAACTTTGGATCCCAGTGAGTTTATTTGTAGCTGTGTTATGGCTACACATTTTAATACAACACATATGACCTGAAGACTGTGTCCACGCATGAAACAGACTGTCGCTGATTAGTGTTGATTTCAGTGTGACACTATAAAATGTCATTGGTTGTAGTTGAAAGGAACGTGACACTAGTGTGACACTGGTAGTATGAAATAAGACTTAAAAGGGTTCATTGGAATTGGAGAATTGGGAGGGTTAAAAACGTTAAGGTGAAAACATACGTTGAAATATGGAGCAAGGAAAAAAAGAAAAATGTTGTTTTTTTTTCTGATAAACAGAAACGCAGAATGGGATGTCGAGTCCAAAATATGATTCGAGAAATATGGAAAGCGGATTTCTTGTCGGCCTAGTGACAGATGGAATTGTTATAAATCGCAAAGCCAGTAATGTAAACAATGTGGAGTATCGTTTTTTAAATATGCAAAATGGGCATATATGGTTCATATTGGAAAATCGACAAGGACATAGAAATAATTTATAAACATAAAGTTGTTATCGGAAAAAATATTGTTTGAATAAGTAACCGATCGCGAGCCGATTGTCGACAGGATATAGAAAAGAATGATGAACAAAGTCTGTTGTTGAAGA